TTGAATTGTACACTGTAACTCATATTTTTTATTTTAAATTTATTGATTTACTCATGCTTTTACATACACAGTCGTGTTTATTTATAAACTAGACACATCCAGTCACATTAAATTTACATATTTTGCATTTTTTTTTTGTAGTCTAGAATAAATTTTGCATTTGAATCAACTTATATTTCATCCAAAAGTTAAAAGTAAATAAAATTTGATACAATTTTTTCCACATTACATTGGTATCAGGACCATTTCCAAATCCAACTGACCTCATTTGATACTGTTTATTGCACTAATTTTTACAGAACATGCAGAAAAACTGAGATTTGTATATTTCTTTACTTTTTAACTTAAAATAACAAAAACCTGTGATTTACAGTGCAGGGAACTAATTTTGTTACATAAACCAGCATCAGCATAAGCATTAGTAGCATCAGGATCGAGCTAGCATCAGCATCAGCATTTAAAAAACAGCATTACCAGGATCAGTATCAGCAAGCAAAGGATAGAACTAGCATTGCTAGCATTGACCTAGATTTAAAAACCAGCATTGACCTACTTAAAATCAGGATCATGCTGGTTTACTAATAATACAGATTCGTTTTTCACAAAACGAAACAGCATGTAGATATTCTTATGTCAGTCGGGAACAAATACGTATAGTGTATTTCTTGCGGTTAAATTATTCAATACAATCTTAAGATAAATATTAAATTAATTTAATAGCAATAATCCCGCAATATTTTTCAATCTGAATCAGCTGATCACCAAACGTCCTATGGAGTCCACTGTTGAGGCCTCGCCACGGCTTGATGTTATTGAAATTGGTGATAAAAGGGTAAGTAGTAACACTTGGTCAACAAAAATAAGTTTAACAATACAATAAAAGTATGATGTTTGGTTTATAACTATTTACTTTAATTTTTATTGGGTTTTAAGTGTATACACGTACTAAGTAATTCACAATCCGAATTTCCTCAAAATTGACGGAAGCCAGAAATAAAAGTCGCAGTGCCTTTGATAAGATAATCATAGAGGTGTATTGAACAAAACCTAGTAATTAAACCAAATAATTGATTCTGTATTATTCACAGCATTAAACGAATCTTGTTTAAATATTTTTAATGCGGAGGTTCTTAAATTTTATAAAAACATGTGCAGATAAATTTGTGTATGTACATGTTGTAGATCTACCAGAAAAAATTTCAATTTCAAGTAGCTAAAAAATAATTATCATTATAACACAAAATAATATATTGGAGAGGAACTATGCATGAAAATACATTCATTTTAAAACTTTTACACTACATATTCTTTTTCACATTATTCATCATAGTGGTACATTGTGTAAACTAGTTTGTACCATAGGACTGGCGATAAAAATTTAGATTTTGCTTTCATGTTGCTGTGGTGTATTTGCCAGAAGAATCACAGTTTTTTTAAGTCACGCCCACCTTTTGGCATCAAGCCATACTGTGTCAAGACCTTGACTAATGAATGAATGATGTCAATTTCAAGACCAAGGCAATGCCTGATGAATGAATTAAGTCAACATTTTAAATTTCAAAAATACTAACATTATAAATATTTAGCTTGTCGGTGTCCGCTTCATAAATGGTTCTGTATGTTTTCTCTGCCTATCCTTAATCAGTAAATGATACGTCCTATCTCGAATTCTCGTCATTTTCTTTCCCGTCTCCAAATACATATAGCAATTTCACATCAGAAGTCCCCGCATTTTTTTACTTCAAATACCATTACAAACTTTCATTAAAATGTCACAAATCATTTCATTTTTTTCTGTAGGCCGATTGCCATAAAGAAAAAGTTCAATGCCAATGTTTCCCATATCCATCCCCCCTTTTTTCAAAAAAAAAAAAAAAAAAAAAAAAAAAAAAACGATCTAGAAAGATAACTTTTCTTTCAGAGTTGACGGCTTGAACATAAAAGCCTACAATCGCTACCCCTATACCTGTACCTGACAAAATTCATGTTTTCTGCGTCTTCAACATTTCAAAGGTACAATATCTTCACACGTACCAATTCCGATTTTTTTTTAATTTTTAAAACAACTTGTAGTAGCAATGCCGCAGTAAAGTATGATCCTTGCAGATGGAGACAGCTATTTATACAGACTCCGGACCGTGTCTTGACACCTCGTAGTAGGCGGTGCTATTTATCAACTCGCTTTTCTCTCATTGGTCCTCTGGTACAAGTAACTTACACAATAGATATTAATTGGTTAGCTGTAAATACACTCACAGTTTTTATTCACTCGGGGCTCCGCCCCTCGTGATTGAAAAACTGTGAGTGTATTTACAGCTAACCAATTAATATCTATAGTGTAACTATAACTTGTATAATTGTCCTGGTATGTAGAATTTTATTTTAAGTACTTGAATCCATTAATACCCTTGCAAATAAGATCTCAATTCAATTATAATAAATACACCAGATTTTATCAACAGAATTAATTAAGTATATAAATCATTATAGTGTTTTTTTCCCAAATTAAGTTGTGCAAGATTTGTAAAAAAGATAAGATGATCAATTAATAAATCTTAGCTTCTTTGTATAATGTACTTTTATCTTTATTATAGCTCTTAGTGGAAGAACATGAGAGTACTTGATAGAAATGGAGTGCTATGAACAGTCTACAGTTTGTTGTTTCAACACCCCACATGAGAATTTTTCATTCATAATGGAGACACCAACACTTGTCGGTGAAGGGCTGCAATTTTAGACCTGTACTCGGCACATGGGCCTTTAATTATAAGCAGTGAGAGATCTTTTTCGTGCCAGCACCTTCTGCAACACTGGAACTCGGTTTATATGGTCTCATCCAAAGGACTGGGGCAATCTACAGTGAAGTCTGAGAATGATGATTCAAAGAAAATTCTGTTTGGAAAATGATATTTTTTAAAAAGAGAAATGTTCTTGATTCCTAAAAGTAGAAGGCATGGACAGTATAAAGAAATGGTGAAAACTTACCAAAAAAAACCCAGTTTTTCAAGAAAGTGAACTTGTTGAAAAAAAACTTTGCTGGTGGTCAAGAAAAAAGCTTCACTTTTTCATGCAAACACCATTCTATTTATTTGACTTTGTGGACATAAATTTATCAAACAAGTGAAAAAGCAGTGCATGAATATAGGACATGGATTGTAAAACTATTAATTTGATTATTCCATCATTACACCATTTCATAAAATTCTGAAAGTTGTTATGGGACATTTTGTGATTCCATTTATTATCAATTATAATTTGGTCAAGTTGGCACTGACTATAAATAAATTGCAATTTTTAGACACTGGGAATATTGTTTTTATTGCTTCCATGAACTTAAAATTTTACATGTATACTGTGTTGTTCTACAATAAACATAAAATAACCTTTATTTTGCCCCCTACTTCAAATATATTGTGCCTTACAGCACAACTTGCTTTTAAGGAGTGGTAAAAGAAAAATTTGGAAAAGATGATATAAGAGTTTGTTATATTTTCAGAAACTGAACATTTTGCCAAGGCGGTACACATCTAGAAAAGAAAAACTGATAGAAAATATTACTGTAAATTTCATATATTAAGGTTTTAATTTTAAAATTGTGAAATTTGTGTTGTACTGAAGGAACAGTTTTAATGTTATATCATCAAGGTCAAAAGATATCTGGCTAGCACAAACTCTAAATCTATGGTACACCATAGTATAATAAGTGAATGATTTAAACCATTGGCTTAAACAATGAGGAAAATGTATCTCTACAAATGTACCATGATGTAAGGCCAAAATAAAATTATTGTTCGTTTGGAATTGCCTCCCGCCTCATTGAAATGACCCTCCTGGAAAATTTTTATTGACCAAAAATAAGATTTTTTTTATTCAATCAATTCTTGGCCTGTTATCACATGTGCCATCCAATCACTTAATGTAAGTGTTGGATCTAAGCAAAACTGGGTTCCTGGTTGATGGGAGATACCCTTCACAAAAAGGCAGAAAATAATGTGTTCACTGCTTATTGAGATTTTTATCATAAATTTTTTATTTAACTTTAATGTTAAAAAAAAAATTCCCCTCCCTCCTGGGTCTGAAACCTCCCAGGCGGCAATTCAAAACAAACAATTTTTTAAGGATGGCCTTTAAGAGAAGAAATATCTATACAGTAAAACATGGTTATAACGAACACGCTATAATGAATTCATGCTGATGGCGAAATGATTTTCATTCCCTGTGGTTTTCAAACCCATTGGAAAGTAAACATATAACAAATTAAAACTGTTTATCCCAGGCATTTAGCTGTAAGCTTATTTTTCTGTATTTGAATGATTTACTTCATTCTAAAATACCCTACATGATAATGTGTTATCCCCCATATTCAGTCTCTTAATGCAGATTATGGAATTTTTCATTAAACATTTTAAATGAAATCCAAATAAAGAATTGTTATTATTTCAAGTTTAAATATTCAGATGTCAATGAATGGGGACATACCGGTATTACTATTTTTGTCTATACAACTCGGTAACCTTGGCTTTACTCAGTATTTAACCATAACATATATAATATTCCATTCAGTTACCTAGTACACAATATTCTTAGCTCAAATGCTGTATATATACTCTGTATAGTGTAAGCAAGTATATCCAACAAAAAATTTAGTGAAAAGTAGGAACATCAGTGAATATTTAACCAGTTATGAATTAGTGTTTCATTTTTTAAGTTGGGGTGTAAGTGATCAAAAATTCAATTTTTTTTTTAGAGTATTCATGAAATAGAGGATTGCATATGCTTCAATAAGAACACTACATGTAACAGAAATATTGCCTGTCTACATAATCTCAGAGGCAGATCTAGAATGTTGGTGTTAACAAAAAAATATCAGGGGTATTATTTTTTATGTTTTGTTTTGTTTTGTTTTTTTTTGAAAAAATGTGTACTACAAACACAACTTGGACATAAAATTTTATATATACATGTATCTCTCTATTAGTACCTAAAACATCACACTACTGTAAAATATATGTGTTCATTTATTTGACAAAATCAATTATGTGGACAATCATATGAACAGTTTTAAGACTGTACAAAAGAGCAGGCATGCATTTCAATTTTCATACATCTCAATGTAATCATGTACAATACATAAAGCACTTGAAGTCCACTTTAAACTCTGTACATTACTTTTTAGATCTACATGGGAGATAACTTAAAAATGTACAAGTATGTGATCAATGAATTTGGCACACTTCATCACACAGGTTTTAACACCACTGTCTGATTTACAGAAGTTGATTATTAGTTCTTGGCTTCTCACTATTTTTTCAGATAGAATTTCATCAGCTGGATTTAGGTCAAAAGAGGAGGCCAGCATATCCAAATCATTCTTCAAAATATTCTCTTTTTTTGCCATCAATCCCTGGTGGACTTACTGCAGTGTTTACTATCATTGGCCTGAAAAATATGAGATATTAGGTCATGATTTAATTTAAAAATGTTATCAATGTAAATTAAGTTGATTAGTTTAATTTCTCTTCTTGCATGGATATTAACAAACAATCTTCCAAAGAGAATCTGAATATAAGTTTTGGTTGGAGATTTTTAAATTTCATATGATTAAGAAACTCATCCTTGAATTATTTTTACTTTCAAACAGACTGCTTAAATAATAAAAGTAAAAAGATTATAAATTCAAATATAAAAAATGCCAAATGTTAAAAATACAATGTATATACAGTTCTAACTACAGTTTTGTTAACTTTATACAATTACGTCTACATCGCACGTACAAATATACAGAATACAGACTTGAAGAGCAAATTGTATTAAGACAAGTTTTAAAGCAAGTATTTTTTTTTTCAGGTAAAAGAAAATAAATTGGCACTACTTAAACTTGAAAAGTACTTGCGTCAATGAAATAGGGGCACAATTAGTAACTTAGAACGGTGAAGTGATTTAGAACATGATTTTGCTTTTTAATGTCAAATTAATGATCACAGTTTCAAGCATTAATTTAATTTCTTTTTTCTTTAACTCCAGTAAAATTTAAAAGGAGCCATTAGGGCTGAAAAGATTAATCGATAATATTAATTCTGTGTGAGGATGGTACTTATATCAATATGTATGTAAAAATATTTAAATATTGCAAAAAAATTCAGGCGTTTTTCTTTGTTTACTTACATTTTGGGTTTAATATATGTATGATAAACATGACGTGAAGGACATACGCAACGTAGTTTGAACATTATTGTCTTTTTCCCTGGAGTTGAAGAGTTCCAATATTTAAAGGAACTGTGTGCTACAATTTAATGTCTATATATGCTATTGTACACTTCTTCTAAAACAAGTTTTGATAAACAAAACATCTAGAATATATGCTTATTAATTTTTGTATATTTCTCTATGAATTATACAGGAATTTTCATCAATTGATATCTTTTCAAAACCTCTGGAAATGCATGCTGATTTTTTCTCTACGAATTTCTGATGGCACTATAATCTTAAATTAAGAATATCTTGAAAAATTATCAGTAGGTAAGGTACATTGCGTATGTCCTTAAATAGAAATATTTATTTAAAATACATACCGGTAAAAATTTACACCACTTGCGTGAAGTAAGTTTGTTTTACAACGGATATACAGCTTATGTCTTTAAATAAATCATTCATAATTGGGATGAAATGTTTTGTTCTTTTCAATACAAAAATAAGATTTCATGACCAATTCAAAATATTTGATACATATCGTATCATAGCTCAAATATCATGATTGATACATATCAATGTGCGTATCAATATAAAAAAAATTGTATCATCCCAGCCTTAGAACCCTTCCCATCCCAAAACAGTTTTATTTGACTTGGGACAACTTTCTTTTTTCCTTACTTTTTCTTGTAGCATTTTATTCAGGTACTTAATTGTAAGTTACTTTTCTGCCTTTTGAAAAATGTTGTTATAATGTATCTGTTTAAAACCTTACGTACAATCTACTCGTAAACCAGGCACAGGTCAGTTACATGATAAGGTACAACCTAACTTCTCCCCTCAAAACTAAGACCGCAAGGGTAAATTGAATTCCGTAACCATACTTTTGTTTAACAGTTGACTTCTAGATTTGGTAGACTGGCCTTGCCTGTCTGATATGCGCAATATACATGAACGTACGAAAGAGACAGGCAATACCAGTCTATAGATTTGGTTAGAGTTGACATACTAGGTTTGAGTGGACTTGGTTATCAGTCGGTCAGGTTATGTACTGACTTGATACCATGTGAATTAACTACAGAAGACTGCATCTGAATCTCTAAAAAATCATACATATAATTCTTTCTCAATTGTAAAAATTGACCTTTAAAATCACATGGGTTTAAATGCCTGAATCGCTGAGAATTTTGAGTGTTTATTTATTTGTAAATCTGTTTCACATCATCCTTATATAATCTGATAATTTGATAATTAAAAAAAAACATTGTTTACATAGTTTACATACCCTCTGAGTCATGGTAGTGTACTGATGATCTGATGGTTCCTTGGAAACGGCTTTTACAACTTAAAGCATAATATTTTTGCTGAAATATTCACACGAAACATGATAAATTTTCGTCTGGGTTTGTCATAAACTTCATCATGTTCATTGTCCATCACGTTTCCTTGCTCACACGTTGAACACATTGGGGTTCTTCTTCCGAAATCGCTTAGGAAATGGGAAAATCATCGCATCGTTGGGTGCAAGCAATACCTCATAAGAATTATCTGGATTGCAGTGGGCAGCTAGCCTTTGTCAAACAACTCTGTTACGATAACTTCGCAAGATTTACTTCCAACTTTCACTGTGTCGCCATTTTTGTTTTCAATTTTACGATTGGAATTTGACAAAGCGAAATTCGTTAAAAATCGCTAAATTTCTTTCGGTAAAAAATGTAAACAGATAAAAGAAAGTTATTTAATACAATATACAAATAAAAATTACAAAAAAAATATTTTTTATGGCTTAAAATAGCAATGCTGAAATTAAATTATCCACTTCCGCCAGGATAATCCTACTTCCGGTAGCATTACTAGCATTGACCTAGTTTTGAACCAGCAAAAGTAGCATCAGGATAAGGATCAGATCAGGATCAGGATAAGGATAACTAGCATTAAATCAGCAAGCAAAGGAAGCATTCAAATCAGCAAGCAAAGGAAGCATTCAAATCAGCATTGATGCTGTAACAAAATTAGTTCCCTGCACTGTATAAAAGGGGAGCATCCTCCCCATGGGAGTAAGAGAGACACGTTTTGTGCTTTTAGGGATTTTAGTCTTACCTGCAGAGTGACCTCATGGTCTTCACAAATATATAACTTCTAATTGATTTAAATATTATTATGGAATTTATTTTTTATTTATTGCTTAAGAATAATCTAATATCTAATCATAAAATTTCTGTATTCAGAATTAAACATCAGTAGTCGTATATAACAGGTTGAACCAAAGTGTATTGTTGCGTAACTCTATTTATGACCATACATGTAAACTGTCAGCTGTACGATACACCTGCTGAACATTTTCCACAGTCGTCCTCTGGTCCCTGTGACAGTATAATCGTTTTTCTTTTATTTAAATAGGTATGCTTTAAAATGGTATATCATGACAGAGACCCTGAGAAACATGTATACTAGCAATATAGAAAGTTATTTTAATTTATTATTTTGTCTGTATCACATCATAGCTATAGGTAAAAGAAAAAAAAATACCTTCCTATTTTTTATTTTTGTTTTGAAGAAACATCAAAAGTGTACCCAATAATATACATGAAAACATACAAATTCAACATACCGCCATCTGTTTTTGGCCAAAAACTGCAAATTGAATTATTTTTTTTTCTCACGGATTTCCTCCATTGTTGTCTATTTCATTCTTTCTGGTCTCTTTTGCTTGAGAGGTCATACAAGGGGGGTAATCCAACAGAGTTTTACAGCAATTCATTCGGATTATTTTCTTCAAGTCTTCATTGTCTTCCCAATTTTATTATTTATTCTAGATCTATTGAATAGACTATTCTGCTACTAAAGATTAAATGTAGAATTTTCTAAAGTTTTCTGGAATTTGCAAACACCGCAGCTCTTCATGAAAATATAATTCGACAAGTAAAATAAAGTAAAAATCAATTCCAAATTAAATAATCCTTATAAAAAAAGAAAAGAAAAATGTAATTAAATGTAAAAAATTATACATTGAGTTCAGACGTAAAATACTTGATTATAACAGGAGAGGCCAGTCTAAATATTTCTGTGAAAAATATAACAAATGAGCTGGAAGATTTAAAAAAAAGACTATTCATATGCATCATGTTCACAAAACTTGACATAGAAATATTTTTTTCCCACTTTCCATGTTTATATAGTGTGAAGCTCAATGCTTCACGACATGGCCTCTTAAAGATTCTATTACCAATACCGTACAGAAAGATTTGTTTGTTTGTTGTTTAACGTCCCTTAAAGAATTTATCTTTTACTCATCCATGTTATGAGACGACAACACTTGTCGTTGGAGGATTGCAAATTAAAACCTGTACTCAGCACTTAGAGCCTTTGAGCAGTGAGCGGTCGTTTCCGTACCAGCACCTACTGTGACACGAGACATCGGTTTTTCCGATTTTATCCGAACGACCGGTCTCCACGTCCCGCAGTGGGATTGGAACCCGCGACATAGGGATCAACTCTTTACTCTGCGTTTGGAGCAATCGCTTGTACAAAAACAAAGACATACTTTACTAGATGGTATACTTATTTTTGTTTAAGGACACTAGCAAGGTTCCTGGTTATCGTATAGAATTTTTCAAGAAGTTTGAGTAGGTTTAATTGTACTAAACAGGTAATATTCTGGATTGTTTAACCTAACAAGCCAGCCTTCTTTTTTAGATTTTGTCATATTAGTGTTTTTGCAATTCTCAATGCATTTCCTACGTAAAATGCTGATAAAAGGGACCAACATAACTTTCACCATAATATTTCTCCAAAACCCACTTATTTCATATAGTTTTTGTATTATATACATTATTGTATCTTTATTTCCGATGAAACCGTTCACGGTGGCTCGGTCGGTGGAGCGCTCGCTTCGTGATCGGGAGGTCGTGAGTTCGAGTCTCGGCCGCGACGGACCTAAGTCGATAAGAAATGGGTAGCAGCTGTTCCTTCGCCATGCGCTCGGCACTTTGTGGTGAGAGTTGCGGGTCTTTCGGATGAGACCTTAAAAACCGAGGCCCCATGTCACGGCGGGCGTTGGCGCGATGGGGATCCCTCACTGCTCGGTGGCCCTGAGTGCCGAGTAAAGGTCAAAATTTGAAGCCCTTCACCGGTATATGGTGACGTCTCTATATGAGTGAAAAATTCTCGAATGGGACGTAAAACAATATACAATCAATCATTTCCGATGACTTCTAGTTATTTTGGCTTAAAACGTGTATACAAGACAAGGACATAATGCACCGATCTTTATTTCTGAGTTACTTCCCTTAAAAGCTATTATTATATATTATTCATAATGGTCAAGAGACTCGGAGAGTCAAACTGGCTGATTATTTCTGTCATGTAATTGACTGAATTGATTGAAACACATTGTCATAAAATATTAGCATGGATTTATTTTAATTTCTATTCGTATTTTCTAAATGCTGCTTCCTTCATACAACCGTAGAACTGACCTCAGTCGGTCTACATTTCAGCATATGTCACATCTATGCCCTTCTGGGCATACTGAGCATAACTATGGTAAATGACGACCTGTTGTCTCTTTGTCCCCTATATACAATGTACAACAAAGCCATTACTACTTTCTTTTCTTGCTGTATAGATAATTCTACCCGTTGAATGAAGTACACGGCGTACACGTGCTTTTGTTTACCTTTATAACATAAGCTTTATTGGTTTTCACCGCCTGGTGAATTCTACACGGGAAATCACTCTCAATCACTATTTCATCCGTGAAAAAACCATGTATTGAACCTTTTTTCTTCGGAAAACCCTGACTTGCCAATGCCCTTAATCACCTTGTACTAGCTATTCTTTTAGACATTTATTGTACTGTTTAACGGAAAAACTGTGCGGAGATATATTTTTTGCGGTTTTGCAACAACATGGAGTAAGCAAATAATGAAAGGAAAAAAAAAACATGATTGCAAAATCAATTGCATTTATACTGTTTAAAAGTCCTCTAAATAAAAACAGCTAATTTCATACGTGGAAAAGATATTTTTGATATATATTCTTCTGAAAACAAAAAATGAATTTTAAAAGCCAGAAGCTGTTTTTTTTTTATAGGAGATATCTGGTATTACCAACATATCATAACATTTTGTTTATGCTGTATTTTTTATTATATAACTAACAAATAGTTTATGACTATATGATAAAAGAAGTACTAAACGTCTAAAGCAATTTTACGTTCAATTCTTGGCGTTTTATTGAACGCAGAGTGTTCAATACTTATATGAGTATGCCCCGAAACATCCCGAATGCCAGCGTTCAATATCGGACGCCCCATTGTAAACAAAAATGCTGTCTGGTCAACTGCTCAAAGGCAGTATCTATGATGGGTAGAGGCACCTAAATAACATACATCTATATTCACACGAAATTGAAATAAAAAAAAATAAGTACTAATCAGCCTCAATGAAACCTCAGTAGACAAATCATAACTCTTGGTAGGGTGTGATATTGAACAATTAATTCAAGGACAGACGCTGATATTACAGTTTTAATTTTAATACGGTACTGGTGAATATTGGCACTCATTCCCTTTCAAATGACTTTTCACGGTAGCTCAGTCGGTAGAGCGCTCGCCCCGTAATCGGAAGGTCGTAAGTTCGAATCTCGGCCGCAAAAAAGGGTAGCAACTGTTCCTTCGCAATGCGCTCGACACTTTGAAGTGAACATTGGAGGTCCTTCGGATGAGACCTTAAAACGGCAGGCGTTGGCACGATAAAGAACCCTCACTGCTCAATGGCCCTGAGTACCGAGTAAAGATCAGAATTTGAAGCTCTTCACCGGTATATAATGAAGTCTCTATATCAGTGAAAAATATTCAATTGGGACGTAAAACAACATACAATCAATCAATCAATCCCTTACGAATGTCTTACCAATGTAAAGCCAACTCGTGCCAATATTTACCAATAGAAATGCAATAACCATATTATACCGATAACGAGTTTGGAAACAAAAACTCATTCAAATAACAACTCTTTGAGTATTTGAATATTCGTAGACATCCCTTCTAATGTTGAATGCATAGTGCCTGAAATACTTACCTTGGATTTTAGTTGGAATGAAGAAGTTCGCAACGTCATCGTCGGAAAAAATAATTCTCTCATCAGATCCGTTTTCTCTGATATTCTATCCCCTCTGACAGGAATGCAGTCTCTGGAAGAGCGAAGTTTGGAGGAGTTCTTATATTCCCCCATACAGTTGGAACAAAAAATGCTTATGAAAGGATGAATAAGATCGTGGTGTTGTATATGCGGTAATGTTAAACACGAATCCTTGTAGATCAAGTGATAGGTACCAGATCTGGTACAAAGTTCTACTTTGTCAAGTATTTCCCATGTACTAGAGTTGTAACACAGTTGACAAAAAACATTTGTATATTCACCAACTAAGAAAAAAGACTGTCGATTTGAGTTTTCACACGCTC